CCACCCCGCGACTGACGTCACCGCCCGGCCTGACGTCACCTGCCTCCTCCCAAAGTGGTTTCCGCGGTCCTAGTGCCCCCTCGCCCCCACGACTTAACAATGTGCAGTGGCCCATCATGGTGCAAGCAGCTCACCCACTGCTGCTTGTGCAACGCTGGTGAGACCGAGCCACGTCAAGTGCATCAGAAAACTGCTTTGCAGGTTTCAGGGCCTCCTATGCCCAGGGCTGCCCTTGGCCTGGTCTTCATGCTGGTGCAGGCCCCGCAGTCGGTGTCCCCAGGACAGGGACCGGTGCCCCACTTGGGATCAGCCAGGAATTTAACCCCAGGGTCAGAGGGCTGCAGGCGAGGGTGGGGTTGCCTAATTTAAGCAATGCGAGCAAGATATTCGCAATGCTTCTGTTGCAACGCTACGTCCACCCATGCACTGCCTCGCTTTCTATCCCCGAGGACGCCTAGCAATTAAACCAGGGCCACGCATCGCTCTGGTCATTGAATGCCACCGACAAAAAAATCCCACTTCGAATGCCAGCCTCCCGCAGAAGCGGCCGGCAGCTGCCCTGGTCCCCCTGCTTCACCCGTGGCCTGCGCAGTGTCGGGGTGGATGGTATCGGAGACAGAGCTCAGGGGATGGTTTGGACAGGGATGGATAGAGCAGGGGATAGAGCCCACGGGTCACGACGCAAAAGTGGGTTGCAAGAATATATGAAAGGGTGGGGAAACAGACTTTAAAAAAGGATTAACGCTAAAAAAAAAAAAAAAAAAAAAAAATGGATTCTCTTTTAAAAAAGGAGAAAAACACGGGAAACCGGGGCTTTTCCCTTGCAGAGCTCCAGCCTCCGAGGGGCTGCCGTGTCCCACCTACCCACACCAGAGGGCTGGGGCAGCCGGGGTGGAGTGAGGGGCACCGGTTTGGGACTGGCCAACAATGTTTACAACTGGGTCCTGGTACGAAAGAGGTTGAGATGACCTCTGGAGGTCTCCTCCAGCCGCGCTACTCTTATGATTCTATGAAAGGGTCCACAAATGAAACACCAATATCATCTGCACAACCCGCCATTGCTGCTCCAGCGACAGCAGCACTTGAGCAGAACGGCATTTATCCAACTACCAAAAGCCTTGATCCCCTGAACTATCTGAGCCAAGTCTGAGTCACCAAAGCAGCCATTTTCCTAAAAATGACAGGCTGGCTTCCTTACAAGGCACTTGCCTAATTTAAGCAATCCTATCAAGATATTTGCAATACTTCTGCTGCAATGCCACCCATAGCTACATCCACCCACTCAGTAAATTGTTTTCTATACTGGAGAACACAAAGCAATTGAATCACATCTACACAGCTCTCTGGTTACTGAACAAGATCAACAACAAAAAATCCCACTTTGAATTCCATCCTTCCCCCTCAGATTTCACCAAGGGGAACTCAAGGGCTTCAGTGGAAGCCAGACATTTCAAATGCTTAACACTAGCGAGTAGCCTTCACATTACACTTCCTATCTAGCAAGATCAGAATGTGCAGCAGAGGGCATCGCTAGTCTGAGCTGGTAGTGCGCTTCCCCATTTCTCTCACATTTAAGTGATCTCAGACTCAGTCAGCGGGCATGAATCTGTAACGCAGTTTGAGAGATCTTGCACCTCAGGCCCTAATCTGCTTGTGCTCCTGTCCTCATTCCCAAGAGATTACATGTGGTCGCAACCCAACTGGACAAGTGAGTCCAAGTTAAAAATGCATTTATGAAAGCTCACTGTCACCTAGCATGCGAGTTCCATCGTTACAGAGGATGACATGGGTAGAGGTGGTAGCCTGCCTCCCCTTTGATTTAGCTCAATGCAAGGCCTTTGCTCCAGGAAGATTAGCTCACTTTACAGCATATATTTAGATACAAATTCACATATCAGAGGACTAGAGCGCTGTAGGGCAGGACTCAGTAACTGGAAGTGGTGGTAGAGAGAGCCCCTGGACTGCTCATAGCACACTGGGAATGCAAGTCTTGACCACACTCAAGTCTCAGCCCATCTTACTACTACTGCAGCTGCTCTAGCACAAGAATTACTTGGAGCCCACTTTATACAAACTCAGAAATCCAGTTTAGTGTCTAGCTTTAAAGTTGACCTTGTTAGACTGAGGACAGTAGCTAGAGTAAGCCAGCCTTGCATTGAAGCACAGCAGGAA